TCTCTCTCTCTCTCTCTCTCTCTCTCTCTCTCTCTCTCTCTTTCTTTCTTTCTTCTCCCCCATCTCTCTCTATCTTCTGCCTTTCTTTTTTGTTTGTTAGTATGTCAGTTTTTGGTAGATTTTTCCTTGAATGGGATGTGTTTAGTATTAAGTATTTGTTCTCAGAAAAATATATATATACATAGTTTAATGCTTTGGAGGGTGATATGCAACACAATCGAAATAATTAGTCTCACATATTAAGAGGCAATTGCATTATAGAGGAGTTGACACAAAATGAAATATGACTTGTACCTGATAAAAATGTCCATTTTAAACAGGGAAATATGATGTATGTGAAACAAAGATAATTCAGTAATAATAATGACATCAATCATTAACATATGTTGAATATTCATTTTGCACTAAATACTTGTTAGTGATTTCTATGTATTATGGAATGGTTTTCATTTCACACCCATAACAAGCCTATGGGTATGAAATCACAGTGCTGCTGATTTTGCAGATATAGATAATAACGAACTGAAAGTTTAGGTAATTTAGTTCACTAAGTGTCAGGGTCAGAGATCAAATGCATGTAGTCTTGTTCCACAACCCACACTTGTGATTACAATATTTTGTGGCTTTTATTTAATAAAAATCTTTTACTTCACAAGCTGAAGAACTAGGGAAGCTATTTAAGACTATCATGATTGTAGTGGATATATGGAGAAGCAGTCAGAACTGGGAACCAGGACTACAGCTCTCAGATCTCCGTCCTGCCAGTGGTGTGAGGTACGTGGCCTCTGGAGGCTCCACTTTCATCTGTACAAAGGTCGTGGCTCTTTGCATAGTGCCATCTGGAGGATTAAATAAGATTACCCGTGAAATGTATTGACAGCAAACAATGTGTATAGAGTATGCTTTCAAGCTATGTAAACTGTTACTGTTTTTAAAGCAAAAATCTAGTGTGTGTAAAAAATGTACTGTGATAGATAAATAATCTTCACCTAAGCAAGATGAAGATGTTTTAAGCATCACAAAAGTTTTGGGGTTTGTTTAGAAGAAGACAGGCATTTGTCTCTTTCATTTTGGAATTCAGTGGTATATATGCTTAATTCTGGTGTACTACCAAAATTTTGATTCTAAATTTGTGAGCTTAGAGACTTCAAACTAATATTTATCGAGAGAGTCAGAAGTGAATTATTTGCCTATATAACATAAACTGATGTTTTTGAATATACACACAGCCCAGACTCTGAAAATCAGAGGGTTTATTTCACATGTGCAACTCTTTTTATGTTTGTCGATGGACTTTTCAGTAGAAGTAATGAAGTTTTCTCATCAATTAAACATCTAGCCCTAGAAAAAGTTTCTTAATAATTTCCATAGAAAGTGATATGGAAGAAAAGTTTTATGACATTTTGCATACTGGGAGTCAACATTTTGAAATTTCATATAAAGTTGAATTACACTGTCCATTTTCAACATTTTAAGATATAGTATCCTAAGTATATACCATAAAGATGAAGACATTAGTTATTGAAAATTATTTGAACTATTGACATAACATCTTTAAAGTATTTTTGCTGTTACATTACTTTTGTGTGTTTTTAGACATTTTAAGAAAGCACATTCAGACTGGGTCAGGGAGTAATGTCTGTGCTGTTGGAATTCTTGGCATGTAAGTGAAAGGTTGTACATTATATTTGGTATATTTAGTAAGAATAGTTTGTCATAGGAAATCTTAACATGAACTAACTCTATAAAAGATATTTCATACACTACATAAACCAAAAGAAAGAAAATGTTTGCTTCGTTAGAATATAGACTTTGTAGTTTATTTCATACTTTTGCAAAATAAGGAATCACTGAAACCTAAATGTTTAAGAATTTTACTCAGAATCATCTGAAATGAACACTTTAACTCCTACTTAATGTCTTTGGAAAGCAGGCAGGCATCACTGTATGTAGCAATATCAACATTTGCCTAATCTTTTGGACACATAGGAGCAGTCTTGATTTGGGTGGAAACAGGAAGACCCCGTGTGTCCTGTGTTCACTGTTTATCCCCAGGGACACGGGCCTCGCCTTGAAATGTGGGTGGAATAGTCTCTTCACTGCTCTGCAGAACAGCAGATGTGGCAGGGCTAAAATCAATATTCACACATGGCTGTGAAATCGAATCAGTTTAAAGTTTTCCCTTCATAATATTTGCAATGGTAAGGGATGATTTATCAAGCTCAATAACTGCTTGGGGCTCATAAATTTCAAGTTAAAATAGGAATTTTCTGTATTAAATAAATGTATCTTTGGGTCCCTATACCATTCTTAACCTGGTCTTCCACATTGGCATCAGGACATCCAGGAGCCCAAGACAGTTATGAACTTGTAGCTTATGTTCTATCACAAGTGTATGTTCTGCTATCCAAAGTGACCTTAGCTTTCATTATATTATTTACAAATGGATCCGTGCAGCAAACAATAACAAAAAAATTCTAGAAACACTACATGGAGAGAGGAACTCCAAACCAAACTATCACTTGTTTTAAAGAGGCTTAGAGTTGACCTGAATTTAGTTTCTTTTGTAAAAAAAAAAAATAATTCTCTGGGGATCTCTCAAAACATCTTCAAGATGATCAGGTAAGGTGGCCTGAGAACTATCCTATTTTGATGAATAATGAATATGAGATGAGTATCATTGAGAATAAGAAACATATATTGAGAGGAAGGGGTAAGCGTCAGACAGTGAAAAAGTCAAACCATTTAATTTAGTAACATTTTGTCTCATGTACTACATGGGCAATTCACATGCATGAACGTACAAGGATTTCAAAACAAACACTTCTTGACGACACCACTCATCTCAGTGTTCAGATTATAAGTAGAAAGCAGAAAGGTTAGGAAAGCTGACCAAGTTGACATGAGTAGTTAGAGGGAAGTCTGGTTCTCACCTAGTTCTCACTGAGCTGTGGTATCACTGTTCTGTTTTCATATTTTAAAATAAAACTCAGCATTTTACAGAAAGACAGTGTTAAGAGATGGTAGCCAACTTTTAAATCCATGAAAACAGGAATTTTTCTCAGCAGATTTTAGTGGAGAATTTGGTGTAAGGAACACAAAATAGGAATTCAGCAAGTATTTGTAAAATGAATATGTCTTGCTAAGTTTTAATGAAGATATGAGACCAAAAAAATCAAACATTTTATTAACAGTCACTTAACCTGGTTAGTGACAGAAGTCATAGAAGCCCCAAATCCTGTCTTACTACAGAAAGAAATAAGCCTAATTTGAGAATACTTTCAGCATCCTTTGACAGATATTGGAATGCTAAAGATGATGTTTTCCTTTCTTTATAGCTCAAGACACAATGTTATTGTTCTAAATAACCAGATCTTAGATTAAACTAACATCCCAACCTTAAAAAGTTTTCACTCTCTCCTTCAAAGGCATTTGCCACTGACTACGATGTAGGTTCTTGTGTTGATTATTTTTCTAAATCTCCTACAGTGCTTTTGCAATGTATAAGGAATCCTATAGCTGTTTCTGTGACCCTGCGCTGAACTGTTTGAGGCCTGGCCCCATGGGAAGGTGACTTGTGCTGCACAGAGAGATCACTTCTTAGTGTTCCGCTGTTGTTCCCTCGAAATTCTTAATAAAATGTCACTTTGTATGGGGGGGCCACAGATGACATCACTAATCCTACTTCCTCATTCTCCTCGCAAACTGACACAAATCTGCTCCTTTTCTGTTTTCTATATTTTTTGAAAGATAGCACCACCATCTGCCTCATTCTACTGTAAAATGTCAGAAACAAAGATTTATCTTCAGTTTTGCCTCTTCCACCTACCACTACATGAAATTGTTCACAAAGTCCTATCAATTTTAACTGCATGAATTTTCGATAATGAATCTAATGAGTCTCCTCTTTACTTTTCCATAACTTTCAATAGGAAAACACAAAAACAAACAGCAAAACTAACTAACTAACTAAATAAATAAAAACAATGGCAGTAACTAAATTCAACCTGGTTTCTGCCATTTATTGTTTGTAAGAATTTTTGTAACTCAATTAATTTTTGAATACCATTTTAGCACTTATGAGCTTGAAAGAATTAAGTTAACCTTGCAAAGTTAAGCTGTAGTAAAATGATTTGAAAAGTATTTGCTATAAAGAGTCTTTTTAGTTTAAGAAGGGTCTCAGAAGACTAAATTTTAATTTCCTCTCAACATTTAACAATCCTTTACACTGGTATGAATTATCAGGGTATATTTCTGAAAAGTATACTTTAATCATATATTGTTCATTCATTTGTAATTTATTGAGTATTCATTTCCATGATAACGTTTTCTTTTTGAGACAGGGTCTCACTATGCAGTTCAGGCTGGCCTTGCACTCACTTTGTAGTTCAGGCTGGCCTCAAACTCCCAATGGTCCTCCTGCCTCAGCCTCCCAATTGATGAGACTACAGGCATGTGCCACTGTGCCCAGCTCATGATAATGTTAAAATAGTGCCTCCCAAGAAAACAGTTTCCTTATACTTCCTAACACCACTGGTATCACGAGATGAGGTTTAGGTCTTTCTTTTGGATCTAAGGATACATGGAGCTGCTTCAATTGAGTAGAAGTGACATGATATGATTTCTGAAGCTGGATCCTAAGAGGACAGGTAATTTCCAAACTGTTGGTTATAAAAATGATTTCTGCCGCTCTACACCACCACATAACATAGTTTTAACAACCCAGAAGCCACCAGACTGGGAGAACAGCCATATGGAGCTGCCCAGTCACAGCTTTTCCCCCACGTTACCCAGTTCAGGCAGCAGGCCTGTGAGTGAACCAGCCTTCCGATGATGATTCCAGCCCCGGCACTGACGTCATCCAAGCCTGCAAGTTCTCTTAGGGGAGGCGCCAAGTATCATAGAATAGAAACAAGCCACTCCTTTAGTACTTTATCTGAATTTCTGAGCTACAAAATTAATAATCATAATGAAGTAGTTCTTTCACGTTCTAACTAAATTTTGGGTTTGTTTGTCATATAGTGATTTGTTATGGTTTGTGTCTAAATTGCCCCCTAGGGCCTCATGCAGTTTTAGGGTTTTTTGGAGGTGGCTGAACCTAGAGGGTGTGGTGCTGGGGCTAAGAGTGTGCCATTGCAAAGTCAGGCCACTGATGGGTTTGGCACCTCCCTGATCCTAGCAATCTAGATACAGCACATAAGGGACGGAAAGGGTCTTGTCTCCTCGCTTGCTGCTTTGCCACTTTTTGCCACTATGACTGATCTTCACCATACCACCACGCCTTGGAGCCAGCCAATCATGGGCTTAAACCTCTACAAACTGAGCTAAACAAACCTTCCCTCCTTTAAGTCTAAGTGTCGAGTATTTTGTCTCAGCCATGAGAAAAGTAACTAGGACATGATTGTAAATGGAGTAGCTCAAAATTGAAAAAAATTAAAAGTAAAAAAATTGAAGTATTGTTTATGTTCAAGCTGTCTTTCCCTTCCACCCTTACCTTGACAGCTGCTCCATGTTGGAGCTCTGACCCTTTGTTTCCAATCTGGGTACCTCTAAGGATTCTTGTTAATTAGAAACTTCTGCACTTTTCCACTCTCTTCCTGTTCTTAAGACCCAATTCATGTATTGTACTGTCATGAACTACTTTCTCATTTAATCATTAATGGAACTTTTTAACCTCAAAGTTAATCTTTCTGAGGAATAACTACATTTTTAGGCCACTTGACAAGAAATGGCTCTTTGGATTTGCTAAATGCTTTGCTAGTAGCCCAGCATTG